AGAAAGTCCTGGAGAAGCTCATCGGGTCTGGCAGTATCGGTGGAGAAATTTCAGAACTAAAAGGAGCTGAAAAGTAATGGGATAACAAGGTGTAGAGCTGGATGAACACAGCAGGCCAAGCAGCATTAGAGGAGCAGGATTCTCCAGCATTGGCAGTTCCTACTATCTCTGAAAAGTAGTGGATTTTTTTTTGCTAGTGACAGTTCAATGATTGAGCTTCCACAACTCTATGAGGGGAAGTGAAGAATTGCAAAGATTCACTGTCTTCTGCATGAAGATATATTTCCTCATTTCTGCCTTAAATAGCCTACCTCTTATTCTGAGATTATGTTCCTGATTCTGGACTCACCAGCCAGGGACTGTTTTTAATCAATAGCCACCCTTGATGCCCTGAAAGGATTTTGTAAGTTTCAAGGAGATCACGTCACTTTTTGAAGCCCCAGCAAGCTTAGTTTCTTCAATGCGTCATCACAGACAATCCCAGCACCATAGGCATTGTCCTGAGGAACCTACTTTGCACTCAGTCAATGGCAAATATTTCCTTCCTTAGGTAAAGAAACCAAACTGTACACAATTGTCCAGGTGCATTCTCGCTAAGGCTCGATGCAATTGCAGGAAGACATATTTGCTGATCTAATCAAATTACCTTGTGATCAAGGTCAACACAGCATTTGAATTCCTAACTGCTTGCTGCACCTGCATTCTAGCTTTCACTGACTCAAGAACTGAAAGTTTTTATGTATTACCCAGGTAAATTCCAAATCTGAAATTAGAAGTCTGTACAAGTTGTTCAGCTAAAATGCGTGTTTCGTTAACGCAAATTGGCTGTAACACAATTGATGAATAGTGGACACTGTTCGGATAACACAAACTTTCTGCAGTACAGGTATAGCGATTTTCCAAAGCAATTTCCCAATAACGCAGTTTTCTATAGCATGAGGTCACACAAGAATGCAACTATTGCGTTATAGGAGAACTACCTGTATCGAAAAGAACCATAAATGCACCCAACTGATAAACACATACAGATCTATTGTTAATGTGTCCTGTTGTTTCGTATTCTTGTGCTTAATCTTGCTCACATATGAACCTGCTTTGAGTGACATAATGACAGTGTCAAAGGTTTTGAGATTGCTGTCTAGAACTTGACTGCCATCTCGATCCTCATCATTAATCTCACTATACCATCAATGTCTTTGCCAGACTTGCTTCCAGTTTCATGTTTCTTAGGCATTTAGTACTTGGTTGCGCAAGAAAATCCTTCCTGTGTTCTTATGGGAGGGCATTAGACTGATGTGGCAATGTTGTTGCTATTATGAAGTATTGGAATATCAACTACCATTTCTTGTGCCTCATATGTGTTGGGCAGTGGCTTTCTTCATCTCGTGACAGCAGATTAAAAATTCACAACAAAGTACTGGTAGCATATGGATGCAGCTATGTTTGTATTCATTTACCCTTTGAACCTCCTCCTGACATGTTTTTATTATTGAGGTCTTCTGGACACATTCACCAGGGTGTTCTTTGTGCTGTGATGTGCTTTCTTGGTGGTGTTGAGGATGCAAAACAATGCAAGCACACTTTCATTTATTAGCCAAACATGAGCAGAAGATTGTTTCCATTGCCTGTACATTTTGTTTTATTCATTCATGGGATGAGAGAAGTTACTGACTAGTTGAGCATTTATGGTCCATCCCACACCTCCCAGAGGACAGTTAAGAGTGACCACATTGCTGTGGGTCTGGAGTCACATATAGGCCAGACCAGGTAAGGAAGACACATCTCCCTCACTAAAGGGTATTAGCACACCATATGAGTTTTTTTTTGTCCATCAACAATGGTTACCTGGTCAACAACTTCTTATTCCAGATTTTTATTGAATTCGAGTTTTACCAACTGCCATGGGGGGAATTGAATTCATTGTTATCATCCAGTATAGTCTGAAGGGATTGCCTGGGACCTAATGAAATGGGAAAACCAGTGAAGAATATATTAATTAGGGGCTAATTGGGTGTGAATTGGTTGCATAAATATGGGGAGTTAGTATGCAGTTGGGTATGAGTTTTGTGGCATGTGGTTGATGAAATAACACCCAATAAAAGTGTGGACTTGGATTCTGTTTAAATATAGTTATCATCTAGTGTATAACATTGGTAGTAAAGGATGGTTTAGTCACAATGTAAAATGTTGGGTTAAGATTACCCAGCCCTGTTTACTGAACTTGATGATTATAGAGTGATAAGGATTTATAGCACTATCAAAGATACCCAATGAAAGCAAAATACTGTGGTGCTTCGACCCATTTCATCCACAGCGATCAAAAGCAAACACCTAGCTGTTCTAATCCCATTTTCCAGCACTTGGCCAAAAGCCTTGGCATTGCAAGTGCACATTTAGTGTTTTGTATGTGTCATGAGTGTTTTTGCCTCTACCACCATTACAGGCAGTGAGTTCCAGGTTCCCACCACCCTCTGGGTGAAAAAGATATTTCCTCACGTCTGAAGGCTGAAGTACCTTAGCAGCAGAAACTTTCACTCTTATTGAGGTAGTAGATACGGCATTTTTCTTAGCAAACACTTTGGACAAACAGTGATTCATTTTGGAAGGTTGAATTTGAATGCAGAACACAGGGTTAATGGCAGGATTCTCGGCAGTGTGGAGGATCAGAGGGATCTTGGAGCCACGTCTATAGATCCCTCAAAGTTGCTACCCAAGTTGATGGGATTGTAAAGAAGGCATATGGTGTGTTGGCTTTCATTGGCAGGGGAATTCAGTTTAAGAGCCGCGAGGTTATGCTGCAGCTCCATAAAACCCTGGTTAGACCACACTTGGAATATTGTGTTCCGTTCATGGTCACCTCACTATAGGAAGGATGTGGAAGCTTTAGAGAGGGTGCAGAGGAGATTTACCAGGATACTGCCTGAACTGAAGGGCAGGTTTTATGAAGAAAGGTTGAGGAAGCTAGGGCTTTTTTCATTGGAGCGAAGACAGATGAGAGGTGACTTGATAGAGTTGTACAAGATGATGAAAGGCATAGATAGAGTGGATAGTCAGAGACTTTTTCCAGGGCGGAAATGACTATTATGAGGGGGCATAATTTTAAGGTGATTGGAGAAAGGGATAGGGGAGATGTCAGAGGTAAGTTCTTTACACAGAGAGTGTTTGACGTGTGGAATGCGTTACTGGCAGTGGTAGTGGAGTCAGATACTTTAGAGACTTTTAAGCGACTCTTGGATAGGCGGATGGAGGATAGTAAAATGTAGGGTATGCAGGGTACATTGATCTTAGTAGGATAATAGGTCATCACAATGTTGTGGGCTAAAGGGCCTGTACTGTGCTGTATTATTCTATGTTCTATGTTCTAACCTCTTAAAAAGTGATTCGATATCCAATAGTAGCTCGTGAGTTTCTAATTCTTTATTACTTCTCTGCAAACAGGGAGTAATACTGGCTTTTTTATAGTTTGGAAGCTTTTTGCCACTCTGCTGTTCACATATAAGCTACCCACCTGCCCAAAAGCCAATCACAGAGCCATGTTATGTTAAGCACTCCTCACACAGATAACTGATTCTGGTTTGAAAAGAAACAATCAATAGCAGTCTCTGGGCAACTGCTGTGAACACTTACACCCACCGTGCTCATGAGTCCAGCAATACTCCTACACTGCTAGAAAAAATGCATTAGTGTAAATACAACATACAATGAGTTCAAGTAATTTGCCACTATGCCATTGCCAACATTAATAAGATTTGTGCTCCCTGATTGTAATTTGTAGATTGGGTTCCTGGGCTCCTCAGCTAAGGCCTTGTAACTGTGCCCCCTGCACATCCTTGTGAAGAGATGGATGGTTCCTCATCATTCTGTCTCACCTCCTACCATTCACCAGCTCTATCTTCCTTAATATTTTGCAATTCATTGGCCTGCAAATGTTTATTGTCTAGGTTAACACATGAAGAATAAATGAAGAATATATTTGGTAGAGCACATACCTTTGCCATGTCGTGTTAACTCAATGTTATTGTAATTATGCAGTAGTTTTTTGAGACTTTTCCCTGCCTGGTAACTTGTAACCTGTTTGAAAACTCGCAAATCTTTTATAGGGAATACAGGATGGATGTAGATGTTTCCCTGGCTGAGGCCATTTAAGACTGAGATGAAGACGAATTTATTCTCTTAGAAGATGGTGAATTTTGGGAAGTCACCATCCAAGAGAGCTATAAAAGCTCAATCATTGAGTAGTTCAAGACAGAAATGAAAAGCTTTCTGAAGAGTAAAGACATTGATTAGCCACAAGCTTCTTGAGTATTGAGGTCTATGATACATTGAGAAGTCAACATTAACTCTGAAATGACTGAATGGAGCTTGACCTGATGGGCTTTCTCATTGATGGGCTGGGTTTGTTGCCTCTGAATGCATCTGCCACTACGTGTAATGCCGGGACCGCTAAATCCAGCCCATATAAACACATTACAAACACACACAAAGAAACAAAGGTGCAGATATTATATGGTGATAATGATGATTTGTAATGAACAGAACTATGTGCCCATTAAACTTTATCTTAACATAAAGGCATTGAAGAAGGAATAAATTGAAGGGAGGAAATGAAGAATTAATTAAGAAAAATTATATTTGAAATGCGGTAAGGTGGGAGGAGATGCACACAGAGCAGGAATAGTTGTGTAGATGTATAGAAGTTTCCTATGCTGTAGGTACAGTGCATAGAAACCAGGGAACAGAAAAACAAGTTGCCACCTAAATAGTTTTGGATGAGCAAGACCAAATGGATTTTACCAGTGAATTAATGACGCTGTTTCGGGGTAAACTTAATGAAAATATTTATACCAGAAATATTGTGTGTTGAATCAAGGTTTTATTGGTACTGTATTTTTTGAGCATACTTGATTATAAGATTGACAACCAGATTGTTCTCTTTGGTTGTGACCACTGTCAAAGTATGAGAAATTATGCAAATTCTGAATAGTGCTTTTCTTTTGCAGTGGACGGCGCTGTCCATGCAGGAGCTGGGCCTTTGCTGCAGAAGGAGTGCAGTACACTGGGAGGGTGTAAAACTGGAGATGCTAAAATTACCAGTGGCTACTGCCTGCCTGCCAAGTGTGAGTAAAGATAACATCGCCTTTTTCCTGTTAACACAAAACAAGCTGTTTCTTCCATGTTACGGAAATCCCTTCTGCACCAGTCACTGCAATCACACTTGTGTTTACGTTTAATCAAGACTAGCTCCAATGAAGAGGCTGATACAACGCAGAAGGGAGTTTGAATAGAGTTCAATTTCGCTCTTTAGCCAAATTTCATCCTTTCAATCCTGTTTTTATCAATGCGATAGTTCAACTTAAAATTATTAGTTTTAGAAAAATGCACCATGAAAGATGTAGCATTGAACAGCACTGCAAACTGTTTTAAGTTTGCAAGCACTGATGAGATGTCTGAAACAAAGGATTATTGGTGAAAGTTTTGTTTTTTCTTGTATCCCTTCAAAGTGCAGGAGAGCAGGAGGCAGATACGCTGGTGATTTTGATTTCCTTATATCTGAAACAATACCAAGCACATTACTTTTAAGATTTAAAAAACAGTCATCAGTAAAAGTTCTTTGACCTCAATTTTTCTGTTCTACGTCTGCACCTACTGACAATAAAATACCAAGTGAGGAGAGAACACACTGTGCTATATGAGTGAACACATTAATGTATAATACACAAGGTGGTTTTACTGTGTTTGTATTTTACTTCCCTCAGAGTGATTCTAACATGGTCTGATCATTTTGAGATTTTTTTATGGAATGCAGAGAAAATAACATGCTTTCGTTAAAACTAAACGTAAGAACTTGTGACTGTCAGAGACTCATCCTGTCCATTCATAGTATTCCTAAAAAAAAAATTGAGGTCACACTGCTGTTCCCAAGAGATTGTTTTAAAAAGCCTAAGTGATCCATAGCAGAACTACAGTGAGATACATGATCATTTTCCATTTAGTTCATTACATGCAAAGAAGGACAGGTTGCAGGAAAGTGCTGCAGCACATTGAACTTGGCTTGCCTAATGAATGATTTCTTTACCTTGAAAAGCAAGTGAGTAGTTGGAGACAACCCTACAAAGTTTGTCCTTGAACTGAGGGCATCCACTTCCAGAATGACACAACATTGGCTGATGACCCAAAAAAGAGTGACTTGCCAACTTTGAGGGCATTGCTGCTGGTCAGGCTAATGAAGCTGACAGTGAAGACACAAAAGCAATGTGAGAAAAACTGTTGAAGTAACTCCAAAATATGTCTTGTATTCAGTGTCATGTGGTCATTACTGCAGCAAAGAAAGTTAAAGGCACTTTAACTGTTAACTTGAGAGCACTCAAACAAAGAAATGATTCAGGTAAAATTGTCAGTGTGCCAAAAAAAGCTCCTTTTCTAGAATGTCAAAATGCAAACACTGGATGTTTAGGATTCTAACTGGCTATTCAGGGTGCATTGTCCTACCCTGATCATGAGGTTATGCTGTTCTTCATGTCATGCATATAGCTTTGCCTCCATTTTTTTCTTAAAATTCATTTATAGGATGTGGGTTGTTGCCTATTACTAAATGTCCTTGAAAGGTGGTGGCAAGCCACCTTCTCCCGTCACTGCAGTCTATGTATGATGTAGATACATCACAGTTTTGTTAGGCAGGGAGTTCTTGGCTTTTGATCCAGGGATAGGGAAGGAATAGCAGCAATAGTCCCAAGTTGAAATTGTGTTTAGCTTATCAGGAAAAGTGTTCCCAAATATCTGCTGCCCTTGCCCATCCAGGTAGTATAGGTTGTGGGTTTGGAAATTGTTGTCTAAGCAGGCTTGGTGAATTGCTGCAGTACATCTTATAAGTTGTACATACTGTTGTCACTTTGCATCAGTAATAGGAAATTGAATGTTGAAGGCGTTAGATAGATTTTGTTTAAGTGGGCAGCTGTGTGTTGTCAAACTTCTCGAATGTTGTTAGATCTACACTCATCCAGGCAAAGGTAGAGTATTCCATGATCTACCTGACTTGTGCCTTGTAGATGTTGGGAAGGCTTTGGAGAGTCAAGAGTTGAGTTACTGGCTGCAGTATTCCTAGCCTCTGATGTACTCTCGGAGCCACAGTATTTATATGCCTCATCCAGTTGAGTTTCTGGTCGATGGTAAGCCCCCAGGCTGTTGATAGTGGGGGATTCAGTGACAGTCATGCCACCAAATGTCACGGAGCGATGGTTAGATTCTCTCTTGTTGGAAATGGTGACATACATGTTCTGAATTTTTCTTAGTTGTACAGCTAGTTTTTTAGATTATAAAAGTCTGCATGATGGTCTGTTATTATTCAGCATTTTTCATTTTAAGTGTGATTGTTCAAGAGCAGATCACCTCAGATGTTTTAAGTCATTTTCCAGGATTCTATGAATGTTCTTAATTAATGTAGTGATTATTACCTGTCCATCAGTGAGTTTCTTTTCTGCTATTTTGTGTAGTTTACATGTTTCACTGTCTTTCTCTTTATTTAAGATTTTCTTGAAATGTAATGGACAATATATACAGATACGGAGGTAGAAAATATTGTACATTTTCTCAGAGGCTTTCTACACCAGGAAAGTTTTAGCACCTTGCTATTATCAGAGAACTGCATTTATTCAATATTGCATATTCATCTGTGTCCATGTAATCTTTTCAATTTGTGTAGTGCACACAGTGCAAAAGGTAGTTTACCATCTGTAATAGGTGAGATGCTTGGCTGACTTGTGCATTTAAGATACCAACAAAAACAATTTTGGCACTGCATCCAGAACTACTTATTCTGCTCTCTAATGGCAACTCCTCAATCTCCTTAAAGCATGATATTGGCAAATGCTGTGTATATCTGAGCTGTACAGACCAGGAAATATGTTGATTTCAACACAGAAATTGGATGTTTCTGGGTGATACCCATAGTAGCTGATACATGTCATGTGTGCATTTATAAAAACTTTAATTACTGGTCTTTTGATTTTTAGTTAATAGGATCAAGGAACTTTGCATTATCTGGTGCCTTGCAAGATTGTCTTTTGGTATAAAGATGTATGAACCAAATATTAATGTATAATAATATTGACTGGAGCTTTTAACAAAAGACAGTTTTCAAAGGAAGCAATGACCCAGTGACCTAGTTAGACTATTAACCCAGAAACTCCGCCAATGTTCTGGACAGCCAGTTCAAGTCCTGCCATGGCAGTTGGTAAAATGTGAATTTAATTTAAAAAAGTTGGAATTAAGAATCTACTGATGACATGGAGCAGTTGTCAATCATTGGGAAAAACTCATCTGGTTTACTCATGTCCTTCAGGAAAGGGAATCCGCCATTCTCACATTGCCTGGCCTACATGTGACTCCAGACCCACAACAATGTTTTGGTTGACTCTCAACTGCCCTCTGAAATGGCCAACCAAACCACTCAGTTGTATCAATTGCTACAAAGTCTCCACAAAGATATCAAACTGGACGGCCACCTGTCATTAACCTAGGTACGGGAAAAGACAAAGACAGAAACAGCCCTGGCCACCATGCAACATCCTCCCTGTTAACATCTGGGGGCTAGTGCCAAAATTGGGAGAGCTGTCTCACAGACTAGTCAAGTAAAAGCCTGACATAATCAAAATCATAGAACCGTCCCAGACATCACAATCCCTGGATATGTCTTGGACAGACCCAGCAGAGTTAGAGGCACAGTGGTATACACTTAGGAGGAGATTGCCCTGGGAGTCCTCAACATTGACACTGGTCCCATGCAGTCTCATGGCTTCAGGTCAGACGTGGGCAAGGAAGCCTCCTGCTGATTGCCACATACTGTCCTCCCTTGGCTGATGGATCAGTCCTCCTCCATGTTGAACAAAACTTGGAGGAAGCACTGAGAGTGGCAAGGATGCAGAATGTACTCAAGTGGGGGATTTCAATGTCCACCACCAAGAGTGGCTTAGCAGCAGTTCTACAGATCGAGCTGGTTGATTCCTAAACAACATAACTGCTAGACTGGGTCTGCATCAGGTGGTGAGGGAACCAACAAGAGGGAAAAACATAGTTGACTTCATCCTTACCAATCTGCCAGCTCCAGATGTATCTGTCCATGCCAGTACTGGTGAGAACAACTGCCACACAGTCCTTGTGGAGACAAAGTGAGAATCCTTTTTGAGGCTACCTTCCATTGTATTGTGTGGCACGATCACCATGCTAAATGGGACAGACTTCAGACAGATCTAGCAACTCAAGACTGGGCATCCATGAGGCATTGTGGGCCATCAACAGCAAAAGAATTGTACTCCAGAATGATCTGAAACCTCATGGCCTAGCATATTCCCCCAGTCAACCATTACCATCAAGCCAGGCTTGATTAACTCTTGCTCAATGGAGAGTGCAGAAAGACATGCAGGGAGCAACACCAGGCATATCTAAAAATGAGATGTCAACTTCGTGAAGCTACCAAACAGGACCACTTGCACGCCAAACAGCAAAAGCAGCAAGTAATAGACAGAGCTAAACAATCCCATAGCCAATGGATTAGATTTAAGTTCTGCAGTGCTGCCAGTCCAGTGCTGAATACTGATGCACAGTTAAACAACTCACTGGAGGAGGACGCTCCGCAAATATCCCCATCCTCAATGAAGGAAGAACCCAGCACATCAGTGCAAAAGATTACATTGAAGAATTTTCAGCAATCTTCAGCCAGAAGTGCGAAGTGGATAACCCATCTTGGCCTCCTCCAGTGGTCCCCACTATTACAGATACCAGTCTTCATCTAATTCAATTTAATCCACATGATATCAAGAAGCAGTTGGATACTGAAATGGCTACGGGCCCTGACAACATTCCAGCAATAGTACTGAAGACCTGTGCTCCAGAACTTGCTGCTTGCCTAGCCAGACTCTTTCACGACAGTCACAACACTGGCATCCACCCAACAATGTGGAAAATTGCCCAGGTATGTCCTGTACACAAAAAGCAGGACAAATCCAACCTGGCCAATTACTGCGCCATCTGCCTACTTTTGATCATCTTTTGATAAAATTATGGAAGGTGTCATCAACAGTGCTATCAAGCAGCACTTACTCAGCAATAACCTGCTCAGCGA